AACTGGTCAAGAATTCTTTGCAACTCCTGAATTCTTAAATTTGATGCATCCATAAAGACCAGTAGGTCATCAGCAAAACGGAGGTGAGTAAGCTTAACTCCTTTACACATTGGGTGGTATGGGAAACGACCAGCAGTGGCTGACTTATCAATCAGACAGGTAAATAACTCCATGGCAATATATGGGTGGGCAAACGGTTCGATAAACCCGAACCGAACCGAATCTGAATTAAACCAAACCAAAACCGAATTAATGCTATTCGGTTCGGAATTCAGAAGGAAAATATGGATAGTTCGGAAACCAGGGTTCTTTCAACCGAACCAAATTTCCGACCGAAAAACCGAAATACTATAATTGCAAGCTCCAAATGGTGGATTTTTATGTTTGTAGTTGTTTTTAGACTTAAATATTTGAAATGTTTTATGACTTATGTGTTAAAAAGTTTGATTTTATCATTGATGATGCATATAATTGATATATATTGTTTATATTAGGGTGAAAAATAATTTAAAAGTGAGAAAATACAAGTAGCTTCACAAATTCGGTTTTGTGTGAAAAACCAAACCGAACCGAATTATAATTCGGTTTGAGAGAATTCGGGGACCCGGTATTCATAATTTCGGTTCGGTCAAAAACGAACCGACCGAATGCCCACCTCTACATGGCAATTGAGAATAAGTAAGGATATAGGGGGTCACCCTGTCTAAATCCTTTCTTAGCTGGAAAATACCCAACCAAGCCTCCATTAAAGCATACACTCAGCATAGGGGTACTTACACACATTCTAATCCATATGACAAATCTTTCTGGGAATCCCATGCACTTAAGAACTTGGAATATGAAATTCCAATCAACCGGATCAAAGGCTTTCATGAGGTCAATTTTTAAAGCACATCTTGGGGAGATATTGGTATGAGAATATCTACTGACAAGTTCATGAGCCATTAAGATGTTCTCGCCAATTAGTCTTCCCTTAACAAATGTTGTTTGGTTTTTACTAATCAATGAGGGAAGCAGAGGACTTAATCTATTAGCTATGAGCTTAGAAATGCATTTGTATAGGATATTACAACATGAAATAGGCCTGAAATTCTTCATATCATCAGGGTTTGGGATTTTAGGAATCAATGAGAGAATAGTTGCGTTGACTGGCCTAGGTACCCTATCTTGTTTAAAACAAAATTGAATAGCAGCTGTTACCTCATATCCAATAAGTGGCCAAGCGTATTGAAAGAATGTCGTAGAGAAACCATCTGGTCCAGGGCTTTTGTCTCCATCCATGTCACATTCCCAAAATTATCAGTGGAGGGGTCAGACAAAGCCTGTTGCTGCACAAGATAGACTTCAGCTTCCTTTTCTTTGACACGTTCCCTAAAATTCGAGTATTCCTCTCTGTTAAGCTTCCTCAGCATATTCTTCAAGTTCTTCAATTTCTTACAAACTCTAATCAAGGGATGACCAGTCACACTACTACTCCAAGCTTCTTCCAACTGCTCATCAAACTTCGGATGGCGAATCCAGAATTTGAAAAATTTAAACGGTTTCGGGAGAGATTTCAGAGAAGCACTAGTATCAACATATAAAGGACAGTGGTCAGAGACTCCAGGAGCTTGAATATGAACTTTACTATCCTTCATCTGGTCTAACCAGGCAAAATTAACAAGGACCCTATCAAGTCTTTTATCAAAGAAAATTATTTATTTCTATGAATTTATTGATTGTCTTTCTTGTTATTAGCAATGTTCACTTTCGTTTTATTATCATTATCGGGTTTTTTTACATATAGCTCACATACGATCATATCTGCTTGTTTTTTTATCATCTTCGTTTTCATGAACTAGTTAGACAATGATTGACGACGTAAATCTGAACTCGATTAAGTACTTCATTTTAAATTATAAAGATCCTTAATTTAATTTGGCGACGTCTAATCACGAATTGGAAAGACTTATCCGAAACTCAAAGTTATATTTTTTCCTCATCAACAATTCAGAGTTATTAGTCAAACTACAATTGTTGGTTCAATAATCAGTACTTCTTTGAGAGACTAGAGGAGAATAAAAGTTGAAAATCAAGCTAATTAATGGGCTAGGTAGGCCAAGGAAGAACATGAGAGAAAGTGCAATGAAAACCACCCACATGCTTCCCTTTTCCTTTTCCTTCCTTTCCCCATGATCCCATTTCCATTTCCTAGTTCTTTTCTTCAATTTTAATTTAATTTCGAGTAATTAGCTACACATGATCCCACTAATCATTGTAATGGTTGGAATAAAACCAAATCCTCATTTTCCCCTTTGCCCACACCACAAAGAAAAATACACCAAACAAAACCCAATTATTCAATGGAAAGCCAACACTACTTCTCCTTCACAATCCTTCTTTATGCTTTCCTTATCCAATTAACAACTTCCAACATACACAAATATTGAATTAATTAAGACTAATTAGAGTGATGGCAACATACAGAAGGATGTAAGGGATTGTGTGGCTTAGCTAGGCTGGCTAGTGCTTATTTTACAATAGCATACAATGAATGAAATGGCCTTGCAAGGTAAGGTTTCCAAAATAGAGGATAATAATACATATGATTCCCAATCCAACATATTATTATTGCATAACATATAATAAATCAGAACTTCATTTCACAAAACTTCTTCCTAAATTGAGTTTAGGGAGGTTAGCTTTATTCACGAGAAACCCGACCAGAAAACCGACTTAACGTCAAGGTACATACACTAAAATTAAATCAAGAATGTGCTTGTCATAATCTCACGAGTTTAGTCAGATAATTCGACTCAAGATATATTTAGAAAAAATTATAAGTATTGTTTTTACTAATAACTATCACTCTTTACAATTAATGCAATCAGAGCAATAAGATAATTTAGGGGTATGTTTATGATGGTAATATGCTTTTGGTTGTTGAGTTTGACCCGTAATTATTTGAAGAACAGAATGACTACTCTAACTAAGTAATTAGTTACATGCGACCTAGCTTTATGGTCTTGTCTACCTTGTCCCTTTTGTCTTTAGAGTTAAGCAACTCACAAGATAAATTGAAATGAAACTACTAGCAAAGCAATAATATTCTACCCTCCCATAATTTGTTACATGGCATGTAATTAAACTATACACTAATTGACACATAACTATAATCAAGATGTTTGGTTTGGTACTTTAGCAACATGATATCATCATTTATCAACCACACCAAACTAGTCTCTTATCTTAATCTTCTACCCTCTTTATCCCTTTCTTTTCATTAGTTCTAACAAAAACCTCGACATTTAGAAGAAGAAAAAAGACAATGGATTATGTCAATGATACGAAAGTTAAAATAAAGTAGTATTATAGAGGCTCATTCTTCTTCAAAGGACAGCTACCTGAATTATCAAACACAATGAGCAGATGTTATTATGTTGAGACACATGGTATGGTAAGAATGGGAATCATATGTTAAATGACATATTTTCCCCACAAACCAAGCTTGAAAATAAGCATTTTGGCTTATGAAGATTCATACCTAAATTTAAATAATAAAACAGACCCTCCCTAGTCATCTTGTAGTTAATTTGATGTGTAGAGAGTCTCATATTATTGATTCATCACAAAGATACTTACCTAAATTTAACTTTCCAAAGTATGATATATATATATGGTGCCTTCTATGGTACCCCGGGTGAAATCCGGGGTACCGCATACCTTGGGTATGAAAACGCTATCTAGATCTCGAATTAGCAAGATTTTTTGGCATGGTACTATACCCTAACCCTTATTGAGTGAACCTTAGGTCCTAATTATCTAAATCATAAACTATAAACCCTAAGATGGCGCATTCATTTTTTTGCCTATATTTGGACGAATCATAACTGTTGATTATTATTTCTAATTAAACTGATCTTCAGGTATAAGATTTAGGGGAATAAGACCTAGATTTTGATCTTCAAGGGTTAGAGTATAGTATCATGTTCGAAAGATCAGTCAATTCAAGGTCTGTGTAGCGTTTTCATACTCAAGGTATGCGGTACCCCGGATTTCACCCTGGGTACCGTAGAACTCGCTATATATATATATATGGTAATGACTGGTGTACGTCAGGCGTATAGTATACAGCAGGTGATCTAGCCGTTAGATGTACTTAGATGAGCTCCGGCCAATCTCAACGGTCAGTTTTTGTTTTTCATTAAATCAAACATCGGGTTGGGGTTTAGAAAATCGGTGCCTGGAGTTTATCCATTAGAGGTTAGGTATATATATGAAAACCAACAAGATCAAACCATCCAGAATCAAGATCAACAAGATAATTTTTTCATCCAACTCTTTTAGTTTTCCTTTTGCCCTAAACGAAAATTTACCCGGGGCCGCATCCTGATAAAGTGAGGCGTCACAAGCTAATTTGAAGTACTTAGTTGCTCCTAAAGACAGGGCTATCTCTCGGTCGATTACCCTTAATCGCATACATGCATTGGTCAAGATTAGAAGGTGCCAATTGAACTTAACTACTTGTGCACTTTTTTATCTGGTATTCTTGCATAATCAAGAGATCGTCTATTTTTACTCTATGATTACTTTACGTCCTATGCTCGATGCGGGTGTATACATCAGTCTCTATTTATTGCATCGTTAGATTTGGTTGAATCTCTTGATAGGTTTGTTTCTTAGTGTAGCTCATCTGGAGTATAGCTGGGAGCTTTTGCAAGAAATGAGTAGACAGTTATACGTTGGTACAAAGATGATTGAACAAACATTTCTAGTTAAAATGCAACATATGGTTTCCCTTGTTAAGCAGTAGGTTACCCCAATACATGTGTGTATCTATAGTATTTGTACACTTGTTTGTGATTTAATTACTAATAAAAGTTTGAGGACTTAATTAGTAACTGTAATAAAATTTAGTGACCCGTTACGAGATTTACCCTCTCTCTCAGTAGAAAAGTGGAAAGAGAGCGCCAATAAATGTGATTAAGGAGTGGCCGCGTGGTTTCCCGTGACCTTTTCCTGTTTTTAAAGCCCCGCACTCTCCCCCTTCTTTCCCTCTTCCTCTCCAAAATTTGCTCTCTTTTCCCTCTCTTCCCCTTCACCGCCATCGCCGCCGTCGTCGAGTTCATCTCACTCAGCCGCCTTCTAATTCCTCTTTCTCTGTTTCGGAAGGTAAATTACTCTCTCTCTCTCTCTCTCTCTCTGTGCATTTTCACTGATAGAATCTAGTTAAATTTTCGGAGAGACGGTAGATTACGTCCTCTGTTCGATTCACAGCTAGATTCGTACTGTATTGACTCTGTTCTCGGCGATTTTAATTTTCTCCAGGCGATATAATAGACCGGAGATTCGCTCTCTTTCTAGTTTCAATTTTATCCATGGCGTTGCCGATCGGTGGCGCGGATCCCGAATCGATTAGCACAGGCGGTGGCGCTTCTTCCGAGGAATTACAACAGCAGCAGAGGAGAAAGCGGAGAAAAATTGCGCACGATTCCGATTGCGCCTCCACCAGCGGCGGAGTCGGAGAGGAGAAGCCGAGGAGATGGAGGACGGAGGCGGAGCACCGGATCTATTCCACCAAGCTGCTCGAAGCTCTGCGGAGCTCTCGGCGGAGCTCCTCCTCCTCCGCCGCCGCCAACGGTACGCTGGTGAGGGACGCGGCGGATAGAGTGCTGGCCGCCGCAGCGCGCGGCTCGACGCGGTGGAGCCGCGCGATTCTCGCGAGCCGACGGAGGCTGACCAGAGTCAGGAAGGTGAGGAGGGCGCGAGTGATCGGCGAGGCGAGGTCGACGGATAGGCGGAAGCAGAAATTGTTTGCGGCGGCGGAGGAAGAGGAGAAGAATAAATCCTCGTCGTCGTCGCATCCTCCGCCGGCTGTGGAGAAGCGAATCCGGACGTTGAGCCGGCTGGTTCCTGGCTGCCGGAAAGCGCCGCTGCCGAATCTGTTGGAGGAAGTCGGGGATTACATCGCGGCGCTGGAGATGCAGGTGAAAGCCATGGCGGCCCTCGCCGAGATTCTCGCCCCGGGCGGCGGCGGGGCTGCTCGGGGTCCGGAGGTTAGCGCCCAATGATAATCAATTCCCTTCCGAAAATCCGCCGCCGGCGCGTGGAATTAGTAATGGCAGGTGTTATTATTATTATTATTTTAGAAAAAACAGTTTTTCCATTTTGTTTATTTTTTTAATTTTCCGGGTGCTTGTATTCTGATTTAAGTATCATGCTATTTATTTAGCTTTGCCATTTTCTCCCCTCATTTCTTGATTATTGATTCTTGGTCCTTCATTCTGTACATGTAATTCTTTTCATTCTGGTCCCCTGATTTCTTTTTTATTTTCCTCTTCGCAATGCCAACTCATATGTCTTGTCATTTGGTAATAGAAATTAGAAACAGGGGGCAAGACTTTGCAATTTTTAACAAATTAATTATTGGTAATTTCGATTTAGTCAATTAATAATGGGGGATGATCAAATTCTTTGTTGGCGTGGTGACAAACTGACAATGCGTTGGACAGCCTAATCATTTTTTCCTTGTTTGTCTTAAACTCGATTAGGAAGGTATTACAATTCTTAACCCCAAAGCCAAACAAGCCTCCAAAATGGCAATCTCCAAATATGAAGTTGTTAACTACTTCACAAAGTACGGATTGGTGAATCTTTTCAAGATAAAAAAGGGTGCATTATGAATACATTTCTTATTGTAACTCATTTGCCCTTTTACTAGGAGTACTTGCTTATAAAGGGCGTTGTTTTGCCACAATGTGGCCTACGCTGTTTCACATTACTACTTATTTTAATGAAAATATGGTGCGAAATTCTACACTTTATTATACAGAGGCAGGCAGTATAACCAATCCGGAGTCTTCAATGTTCATGTCTACAACTTTCTTATTCCTGAATCATAGTTGAAGTAATCATTATTCACAACAAAAACATTGAGCCGATCATATATATCCTTTTCGCTCCCTACGACAGAATTCACAAGATAATGAAATTTCAACCGCATAAGATCCCATGAACACCAATCGCCAAAGCCAAACACCAGTATCCTAGATGAAACAAGAAATTCAACAAACGAGAAGTTACGAGAACTCGAATGAAATCACGTTTTCTTGAGATCGTAGTCAGGATTTTTGAACACATGAAAATTGATTGATCCACATCAAATAAGGAGAGTTGAAAGTTGAGAATGGATGGTTTAAGAGAGAAAAAAGCCCTATAATTAGCGAGGCATGTAGGGCCGAAAAGGCATTCAGTAAAGGGAAGAGGGTCTCACACTCTGTCTAGTAGTAGTACTAATAGTACCAAAGCCATTACCACCTCCACGAGCAGCGGCAGGAACAGAGGGAAACAAAACATACACCACCACCACCGCCTTAATCCTCTCTGGGCCTCTCTCTCTCTCTCTCTCTCTCTTCCAGTCCCATGTGCAATTCTGACCCTACCAAATGGCTCTCCCCTTTGCCAAATTTCACAAAACCCAAAATGGCTCGCATGTGCTCCTCTCTGAATTCCCCTTCCTTACTCTGTTCTCTTCTGCTCTGTTTTTCCTTCACAATGCCCAATCCCCTCTCCTCTCTTCCTATCTATCCACCACCTTCACTCTCTCTTTTCTCATTTTGATTTTTCTTTTGAGGAAAAGGGTTGATGCAAAAAAAAAAAAAAAAAAAAAATGTGTACTTGGTGAAAGATTTTACATTCAAGTTGCACACTACTAGTAGCTAGCCCTCTGCTTTTGCTTTTACTTGAACTTCTTCCCTCTCCAATTCAAAGAACCCAATCGCCAAAGCCAAACACCATCCCTCCTCTTCCTCTTGTGTGGACCTGGACCAATCGATAACACTCTCTAGTCTCCCACCACTTCACCTTTGCCCTGCCCGGCCCCCATCTCTCCAGTTGTTTCGAGTTATGGGCAGGATAAAGATGAAACAAGTACCGTGTAATCTGCTGAATCATGGTACTAGTAAATCCTTTCCCACATGATGCAACTAGTTCAGAGACGGTCTCAACATGGTGACAACTGTTGGTGATTAAAAAAAAAAACAACAACAAGTTTTACAGCATGAGGATTGTGCTTAAAAGTGTGATTTTTTTATGGGATGAGAATGTTGGTAGAATTGGATATAATTCATCGCAGTACGATCTAAATGATCAATCTCGTGTTTCGAGTATGCATCTGAAGAAGAACGAAAGTACGTAAGAAACTGTTCAAGCCTACAATTTGATTAGATGAGATTCAGTTTGATTGACAATTTGAATCCAATTCATTCCCAAATAAATTCAGCCAGTGCAATTATTCGATTCAAGTACATTTTATTGGTTTAATGGACTTTTCAAAAATTAAAGTTTAGTATTTTATGTATTTTATATTCTACAATTTGATACCGAAACTTCAATTTCCATAATGGTTCAAAGTTTAGATGTCATTTGGATTCATCCACAAATCCAATACATAAATCCATGGATTCATTTAATCCTATCAATAAATCTACCTATTCATCGATTCAATATGCCAATTCATTTATTGCCTCTCTTTTAATATGATAAAGACTCCTCTTGTCATCTTATTTAGAAGAAGATTGAAATTGCTAAACTTGAAATATGATTTAATTATAGGGTTAATAGCATTTTGTACCCCTCTATTATGATGAATTAACACACGTACCTCTCTACTAATTTTTTGCACAAACATACCCTTCTAATAATAAAACGTAACAAGTTTACCCTTCCATCAAATTATCTGTTAGGTGGTCGTTAAATGAGTTGGGAAATGACTCAATTGCTCCTCATTTACTTCTAATTTCAATTTCAATTATTTTATTTATCTCTCAAATCAATTAATTTTAAAAATTAAATTCCTAAACTAATTCAGAACAACCCACCGTCTCCCCAAAGATCTAGCAAATGAAACTTCTAACGAGTGAGTGGAAACTCATCTACTCCACTCGTTTTCTTCGCACCTTCCAGGCTTTCACTATTCTTTACCGACAATGGCCGCCATCGCCGCCGCTCGACTCTCGCTTCTCTCTCCCATAACCCGTCGATCAATTCCTCCAAACGAACACTTCTCGGGTACCCAATCCCCTATTCGAAGCTGAAGAGGTTACTCGAAAGCAAAAAAAAAAAAAAATCGCTCTTGTGATTTTGACTATGAGACATATGTAAGGTTGGCAGCTTGATTGGTTTTCACTTCAGGCTGGGAATTGGGTCAATGGTGCTTGAGGAGGCGGATTCCTTGAGAACTGACGGAACCTCCCCGCCGAGTCGGACTTATCGCCAGGGAGACTTTGGGGAGACGGCGGGTTCTACTGATTTAGTTTAGGGGTTTAATTTGTTTAATTAATTGATTTGAGATATAAATAAAATAATTAAAAAAAGAAATTAGGAGTGAGCGAGGGGCTATTGGGTCATTTTCCAGCTCATTTAACGTGCACTTAACAGAAAATTAGATGAAAGGGTAAACTTGTTACGTTTTAATATTAGAACGGTATGTTTGTGCAAAAATTTAGTAAAGAGGTACATTTGTTAATTTATCAGAGTAGAGGGGTACAAATTTCCTTAACCCTTAATTATACTTTAGTATAATCTTGTACAACTAGCTTGTGGTTTATGTTCGACTCTCACAAAATGAACCAAGGGGTCGTTTTGAAAGTTGAGATTTCTGATGATGCGTTCAGGCAATACATGCAATTAGGTGAATTTATCATTTTTTGTTTTAAAATGAAACAAAACATATGTATATGAGCAGAATATAAGACCATCAGAATCATTCATTATTGATGATTATCAATCTAAACTTTTAGCCGAGATTATCAATCTATCATTTTTTCTTCCTCATTTTTTGAGAGATTACCAAAATAATTCAACCTTCACAATGAACAAGTGATTGGTCTAGTGGTAATACCACTAGACTTTTACCTGAAGGGCACATGTTTGAATCCCTTAAGTTGTAGTCTAATCACAAAAAGTAACTTATATAAAAAAATCATTCAACCTCCACAATGTTTTTTCAAATTTATACATTGACATAATACATCTCCTTGGAATACAAAAATTGATTTAATACATCAATTTAATTTAGAGAATCATAACTATCAAATATGGCTTAAATTGTGCCCACATAATCACTCATAATTAGGTGAATATCTAAACGATTTTTTTTTAAAAAATTAAGTGAATTAGTTTTTAGCAGAGATACAATATTACATTATTCTGTTTCCAAGAGAAATAAATTTTATCACTATTTTTAGGAAAATTTGCTAAATAATGCTACAGTTTGTTTTATTCTACATTTATTTCACATTCCAAGTTATAATATATCTCCTCATTATTTATATTTTTTTTCTGGAATTAATGTAATATCGTTTTCTTTAATAATTTATTGCCCCGCCCATTTAGTAACCAACACGTGTGCTTTGATGAAACCCACCTGTCAATTACTAGGTGGACACATCTGGCTGCCACATGGCACCCCCAACCATGCCGCATCACTTTCCACTTGGGTATTCTTGTTTTGTTTTCTTCCTTTTGCTTCAAATTCCGATTCTGCCCTTCTCCCACCACAAATTGTGACATTGATGAATTCATGTGCACAAAATGGTCCACTTGTTGTTCTTTTCTTCCTTCTTTCCTCCTCTATGTTCATAATTACGCAACTTTGCTTTAAAATCTCCAACACATAACATGCACATTTCTCCTTTCCCCCTTAAATAGGTGTTCATGGCAAATGATGTAGTTGATGATCTAGAAGCTAGCTAGAAGAATAATACAAGTATAAATGATGAAAAAATTTGCTGAAGAGATTCGTAATAATGGAATTTCAGAATGCTCACTAAGTAACCACTTCAACATAGGGCTGGCTATTTGGACCGGGACCGGATGAAAAATCGGAAACCGGACCGTATAACCCGGACCGAGACCGGACCGGGACCGGATAGTAAACAATCCAATCCAATCTTTGGGCTTAGATTTGAGGTAAAAAACCGGATAAAGATCGGATAAGAGAGCTCAACACCCAAAACTTAAGGGTAATTTGCATAAACGGTCACAAACCTTTGCACTTAGTACAAAACTTAACCAACTCCTCACCCTTTTAGGCCTTATGCCACTCAAATTCCCACAATCTCAATATAAAATCAAGACCGAATTGGGACCGGACCGGGTCAAGACCGGACCGGATCAAGACCGGACTGTATCCAATCCAATCTTCGGTCCTTATATTTTCAAAAAAACCGGACTGGACCGGATAAATTTGTGCCAATTTAACCGGACCGGACCGTATAGCCACCCCTACTTCAACATCCTTGATAATTATTCACGAATTGATCGCCTATTCAATTCCAAAACATGTTCTTGATATAACCCAAAGCTGAAAAGTTCTCTCAATACTTGAAGTT